ATGCCTCATACAATGTCAGGTGACAGATATTATAATTACGCTCATATTAGATATGCAGGAATCCAGGCTCTGGAGTAAGTGAGGACAAAGTGATAGGAAGTAGAAAATGCTTACTTGGAGCCTAGGTAAATGTCTGAGCTCATAACCTTGATGGTAAGCATTCCTCTGACTCCTAACAGACACCTTCTATTAATGTTGGCTACTAGGGAAGTAGAAGACAGGCTGGATCTGCACCTCACTCCTCCTCTCACTAGCTATATGATGACAGGTGAACTATTCAGTCCCTAACACTCAGCCTCTTCAGCTCCTGGGATCACTCCTACCAGGCCCATTGAGCTCAGATCAGAATTCAGTGAGCTTTTATGTATAAAGAACCTATCTCATTTCTAGGTGCAGTAGATAGCAAAAATGGTCCCTAATTCCTCCCATCCCTCATCACATGCCTATTTCTAATGTGACTTAATGGCTCCACCCATCAAAGGTAAAAGCTATTTCCCCATCTCCTATATCTGAGCTGGGCCACCTGACCTGCTTTGGTCAATGACACATTAGCTAATGTGAAGTCAGCTTGAAATCTGTGTGCATTGAAGCCTGTTGCCATTGAGTGTCCTGCAGCCACCACTTTGTAAGGAATGCTGGGCCAGCCTTCTGGAGGGCAGACTTATAGCCCTGTCAGCCCATCACCAAGTCCACAACCAACCTATCCCCAGACAGGTGAGTAAGGCTTTTGGCTGCCAGCTGACTACAGATGCCTAAGTGAGCCCAGGAAACATCATGTGAAAAAGAGGCAATCCATCCCAGTGGACTTAGCCCTCATTGTCAACCCTCAAAATTGTGAGCAAGTAAGTAGTTGCCATTTTAAGCCACTGAGTTTGGGGGAAGTTTGTTATGTAGCAGTAGACAAGGGATATTCTGGCACTATAGGGTTGCTTATAACACATTAACTTTGTGTTTTCTTTGATTCTTTCCAAGTGATGTAATGGATGCAGAGGCAAGACCTGCTAATATGGAAATCAGTAACCTAGATGTGGGTTGACTGTTCCTCCATGCAGCCCTTCTGGAACTGTCTCCTTACAGGAAGAATCAGAGGATGGGCCTAGGTGGTCACCAAGAATTCCTCCAGCTACAACGTTCTGACATTCTACTGCATCTTTTTTTTCCTATTCTAAACTCTCATGTCAACACAGCCTCGGAAATTATCCTAGGTTTTGGTTCTTTCTCCCTTTATTTCTGATTACAGTTCATGTTGTTTTTTTTTTTTTTCTTAGAATCTTGCCCATCATGTTTACATTGAATATCTGAATGCTCATCTTCCCATCTTTCTAAGTCAGAAAGATTCTACTATCATAAGACACTGCAGCTTTTCAATTCCCAGATGTCATCAACTTAAGAAAAACAATTTAGTAATAGATTTGGGGGACAGAAAAGGGAAAAAACCGTATGATATTAATTAGATTGCTTTAAAATTGCATATACTATTCATCATCTTTAATACTACAATTGACATTTGGGGCAGATCATTTTACACATTTTATCTTACAGTGGTTTCTGAATGAGCACTGTTGACCTCCAGACACCATGCCCAGCACTATAGCCCCTGGGCTAATGGCTTTCAGTTTGAGACATTTTTTTTTTTAATTTTTTTTTCAACATTTATTTATTTTTGGGACAGAGAGAGACAGAGCATGAACGGGGGAGGGGCAGAGAGAGAGGGAGACACAGAATCCGAAACAGGCTCCAGGCTCTGAGCTGTCAGCCCAGAGCCCGACGCGGGGCTCGAACTCACGGACCGCGAGATCGTGACCTGGCTGAAGTTGGACGCTCAACCGACTGCACCACCCAGGCGCCCCAGTTTGAGACATTTTAAGATATATTTATTATTTGAAAAACTCAAATATATATTTCCTCTCATCAAGCCCACCTATCTCTAGGGAGGTAACAGCTTCTCTGGAAAGTTGCTGAGAAGACTGACCGCTGGCTCAATGCTTTAGTGACAGCTCTTCACAACATGTGAATTGGGCCCACCGATCTTGCCTAGCTCTGTAAGTTCTAGAATCTCTTCTAAGAGGTAAGCATTGTTGAGAAGGATTCCCATTTTCCAGGAAAATTTGCAATACCTACTGTGTCCCACTGCCCAACTCTTGGCAACCCCTCATTCCCTTTCTCATTGTAATGTTACATCATGGTGTAATTGTTATGATCACACTCCAGTCAACAAGTAGGGAGGCACACTTCAAACAAACTGCTCTATGTGTGTAGCTACCATTCCAGATCAGCCAAGGTGCCCACCAGGAGCCCTGGATCCCTCCCTGAGCTGCCACATTTGCTGTAAGCAGGTGACATTCCTCTCTTCAAGTTTGAAATGCCTGGTCCTGGCAAGATTCTTTTGCAGTAAAGTGTAAGGTCAATTAGGATTGCAGAAATACTTTAAATGTGTGTGTGTGTGTGTGTGTGTGTGTGTGTGTGTGTGTGTGTAGGGGGTAGTGTCAAGAAAGAATACATCTGTAGATCTTGAAGCTCTGTGAGTGGCATGGGAGAATAAGAAGAGGCAGGGAACAGGAGGAGGAAGGGAAGAAATAAACTCACCACATTGTGAACTGTTCCTTTTTCTTTCAAATTACCCTGTTTTTTCAGAGACATCTGGTTTTTGACCCCACAATCCAATGTGGTTTTTTTGACAACTATCAATCATTGAGTATTTGGTCAGTATTGTGAATGCAGTAACCTATCGGAGCCCACCCATAACTTTCAGAAAGAAGTTACATATTCATCCCACAACAAAAATAAATGTGAATATTTAAATATTACACCAAATGAGGCGCATTATGAAAACCAACTCTTAGAAATTTTAGCAAATACAAGCATACAACCCCTATACCCCCATCAATGTATCCATGCTCAATCCATCACCCAGATGAGCCAGGGCATACATATAGTTCCAAAACATCAACCTACAAAGTTTCAAAGCACCTAGGACATGAAGACAGTCCACAACACTCAATACAAAGGCATTTTCTTCTTTTAAATTCTGCAACACTCACTTTTGGAAGGAACACTTCACAGGCAACCAGCAGTGACCAGTGATCATGTTTTACACTGCAAAAAAGGATGCCTGACTACTCTATTAGGACAAACCCAATTTAAAATTCAGACATTACCTAGAGTCAGAGGCAAGTCACAGCTGCAACCCAGGCTGGTGCTCTCTTAGCAAAACAAAACTGTCCTCCAAAGCCCAACCCAAAGACCAGTAAGCAAAAGTTCACTGTCTGAAAGGCAGGAACCTGAGTTCCAGGCTACTTCTGCATATTCTGTAGCTATAGAAATCTTAGTTAACTTTTGTAAAGAAAAACCTCAGCTGCTTCATCTGATAAATGGGAATAATGATTCTCCAACTCAAATGAGTCTAACAACGTCTTCTCAGCCCAGTGGTTCAGATGAGAGAATTTTCTGTTTAGGGAAGGACTTCAGGAACAACTAGCAACGTTACTAAGGCAAGGGCAAGGGGGGCATTTTCCTCCCATTTGAAAAGTTCTCCTAGATGAGAGAGATGTACAATGCTCTTTTCTGAGTGTTGCAGACCAGGGACTTGCAGCTCTGGGGATCTAGAGGAAGAATCCCCAGTTGTGCTTTGCCATGCTGCAGAGTTGCAGATGGAACACAGTTCAAGTTGATAAAGGGAAACCACAGATGCCCCTGGTTCTGCTGACCTGCTCCTCCACCCATTTGCCTTTTTACAGCCCCACTCTGACTTTAGCATTCTCTTTGTGGGGCTGATGCTCCACAGGTGCCAAGTCCCCCACAAAGGCAAGACAGGGTGGACCTGTGGTTCTGGCACCACCTGCAATGCTTGCCCTTTGCAAAGTCTAACAGAGGCAGCCTGGCAGTGGAAGTAGTGCTTTCTGAGGGGATGAGGGGGGCAAAGCGTTGGTTACTAGGTCAGGAGGAGGCAGGGCTCCTCACCAAGCAGGCTTTCATCGGGGTATAACCAGCCTTGATTATCAGAGCCTAGGCTGGCAAGGCTAGACTGTGGCAGGTCTGCCCCTGGGGTAGAAATGGGCTAACATTGTTTTCCTAAATCACTTTCGACCCCCTTTCTGACACACCTTTCTTTCCTGGTTCTTTCTCTATGGAATTCACACTGAAAACACTATTTCCCCCATCCCCCAACACTTGAAATTGATACTATCTTGGGAGGTAGCCTTTCCTTGGCTCTACTTCCCTCTATTCACTCTGCTCACCACAGTTATGCCCTCTACCCACCCATCCCCACAGCTCTAGCTCCTTTTAATTCCAACAGCCAAGAGGCTGCCTGGTGAGAAAAACAAACCGGTTTGGGGCTGGGCAGGGGGTCTGAAAGTCTGAGCCCGCACCTGGTTTCTCCTGGGTAGCTGGTTGGTCAGGACGTGAACAGATGCCAGGCCTATAAAGTGGGTCCTACGAACCTCAAAACGAACAAGAGCCTGGGGAGGCCTTTAGGACCGAGGGGAACCATCTCAGAGCCAGGCTGCAAATCCCTGTCCACTGAGTACCCAGCGGCTGCCCCCCTCCCCCAGTCTCTGTCGCCTTCACAGTCCCAGACAGCGGCCCCAGGCCAACCGCCTGACGTGGTCACCCGCGGGGCCCGATAGGCCTGGGGCAAAGTTGGCGGCCGCCTTCTCACCGAGCCATTCCCTTCTCCTCCTCGCTCATTCTCCCTCGGAGCCCGTGGCCACCTCCTCCAGCACGCGTGTCGCCAGGCTTGGCCAACCAAGCGGCGCGTCCCGGGACGGCCCTTGGCCAACCAGCCCGCCAGGCGTGCGCCGCTGGAGTCTCCCCTCACCTTTTTTTTTTTTTTCCCCCCCTGGGGGCTGGAGCGCCGGGCTCCGCCCCATCGTCGCCTCGAGCGAGCTCCCCGCAGCCCCGGGCTGCCGCCGCTGCCCCTAGCCCGGCTCTCCTGCACGCTCGGGGCAGCCTGGGGCGCGGGTGGCGAGTGCAGGGCGGGGAGCGGCGCGGAGGGGAGGGGAAGGGAAAGAAGAGGAGGGCAGAGGAGGAGAGAGCTGGGGAGCTGAGGAGCAGAGGCGGGCGCCGCACCGCCCCGCGCCCCGCACGCTCACTGGCTCCGGAGACGCGCGGGCGGGCTCCTGGGCTCACTGGCTGGGTCACCTTGTCCGGAAGGTAAGTCCCGACCGTCCCGGCAGCGTCGGCTGGCGGAGGGGCTGGCAGGAGCCGGGCGGGGGCCGCGGGCGGGCGGGCGCAGGAGGCGGCTCTCACGCGGGAGGGCGCCCAGGCTCCGCCTCGGAGCGCGCAGACCCAGCGGCGGCGCGACGCCCGCGGTGAGTCCGGGTGGTCGCTGTGGCGGGACCTAGGAGGCTCGGGGTCGCCAGGATCTAGGGGAGAACGGAACTGGCGAGGAAGATGCGGAGGAAGGGGTCGGGTGCTGTGAACCCCGGCTGCAGCTTGGCGCCTCGCCACCCCAGTCGCCCCGGCGACGCGGAAGGGCTGTTGTGCAAAGTCGGTGGGAGCTAGTGAGACCTAGACCTCGGAGCGCAGTGGAGCGGGACTGCCCAAGGCCTTGACGGTGCGGGGCTGACATTGGCTCTGCAGGTTCGGGCGACCCCCTGAAGCGACCCAAAGGAGACCAGCTGGGGCTGGTGAGCGGGGCAGCCGCGGAGCTGGGGACCGAGGTCCAACTGGGACTGGGAAGGGAAACCGGCTTGGATTGTCTTTGCCAAACCAAGGGAAAAAGGAAGGCGAGGGTGCGAGAGCATTGGGATCGGGACTCCCAACCCGAGACCGGGACGGAGGTGGGGACTCCGGGAGACCCCGTGTCCGCGAGCTGTCTGGTCCCTGGCAGCCACGACAGCCCGCAGCCTTGGGAGCCGCCAGCCCCGCGCAGAAAGGGGACCGAGTGAGTGGACGCGCTTTTGGAGATCAAGTTCTAGTTTCGCATTCCCTAGGCATGATTTCTGCCCCTTGGTGTACGCTCTCCGAGCTGCTGCGGAGGAAGGAATGGATTGCAGGCAGAGTTGGGCACTTTTCTTAGGGAAGGGGCTTTGATCGCTGTGCGTTTTCTGAAAGACTCCAACAGAGTGGGTGCTTGCATCCTTGCTTTTGAGAGGCTGTCAGTGGGGTCGCTTGGCTTTTCTGAAAGACTAGAGGAAGGCGTCATCTGGTCGCCTTCATTTCCTTGTGGGGGGATCCCCTTGAATGCAGAGGCGTGGGCGCCTGGCACCCAGACTTCAGGTGAGCGCAGCCTTTCTGCGGCGTCAGATGCTCTGGCGCCTCGTGGCTAGTGGCCCGGACTCAATGTCTGCGCCTTCTCTGGCCTCGTTCCGGTGTTTAGTGCAGCAGACGCAAGTCGAGGACTCGGTTGTTTTGAGGGATAGAGGGTGGATAGCTCCGTTTTCAGGTTAGAATCAGGCTCAGGCGGTGGTGCGTGCGCGCGTGTCTGTGTATCTGTCCGTTTCCCTCCTACTGGCCAGCGTGTTTAGTCAGAGCCCAAAGGGAGAGGCGTGCTGCGCAGACCTGCAGCCTGTGGGGTGAGCAGCCTGGTAACGAACCCCAGAGCGGGCCAACTTTTCCTTGCCGAGGTGTGATCGCCAGGACAGTCTGCGTGGTGCTGGTATGTGGTCCTCCTCTGAGAGGGGTCCGGTTCAAAAATCCTCACAGCAGCAGAACCGAAGACGTGCCACCGAGGTGGCACCGCAGCAGTCTGATGTCCCTTCTTGCTAGGACAAGAAGTAGCAAGAGCCAAATTTTCAGATGAATTATTGCATGCTGTGTGCCTGGTGGTTGTGTGGAGTGTCTTTTTGGAGATCAGACCACAGGTGCCACCAGGCCTGTGAGAAGGTGTGAGGAAGAGACCTCCACCTCCTTCCTTCCCTCCCTCTCTCCAACACCCCTGGCACCTTTTCATGGAGCAAAAGTTGGTTTGTAGCTGGTCTGGTCCCCTCTTCCACCCCTCCCAAACCCACTGCATAAAAATGGAATTGCCATAATCAAGAGGACCTTGTTAAATAAAGGGGAAAAATAGGAAAATCTGTGCTTAAAGGTTTTTTTTTTTTTTTTAAGATTGAACATTTCAATAGTACACCAAAGTTGAGAGAATAATACACTGAACCCCAGGTGTACCCCTCATCCAGTACCACACTCACTGGCCCTTTGTCCTGGCCTCTTTTCAACCACCTCTCCTCAGAGTTTTGGAGGCCGTGTTTGATGAAATTTTAAGAACCCATTCCAAGCCCACTTCATCTCTAAATGCAACCCCAGGGGGCGCCTGGGTGGCGCAGTCGGTTAAGCGTCCAACTTCAGCCAGGTCACGATCTCGCGGTCCGTGAGTTCGAGCCCCGCGTCGGGCTCTAGGCTGATGGCTCAGAGCCTGGAGCCTGTTTCCGATTCTGTGTCTCCCTCTCTCTCTGCCCCTCCCCCGTTCATGCTCTGTCTCTCTCTCTGTCCCAAAAATAAATAAACGTTGAAAAAAAAATTAAAAAAAAAAATAAATAAATAAAATAAATGCAACCCCAGGTATCTCCAGTTGATGATATTTCATTCCATTTCACCTATCACCAGAAACAACTGCTTTAAATGATTCCATTAGAATGGTTGCTATCTTAAAATAGAAATGAAGGCAACCCCATTTCCATTTTGGGGTAGTCAAACTTGCTGATGTTCCCTGAGGTATGGTGGGGGGGGGGCGGAATTGAAGGAAGAAAAAGAAATCTAGATCCTGAGAAAAAGAGACATTTGAAACCATTAGATTTCACTTATACCAGTTGATATTCAGGGAATAAACAAGATTCCAGCTGAACTATGAGAGACAAAAGAATTTTTTTTCATAAAAACTTTAAACTCAATTCATAAATCATAGGCAATTAATTAATTCCATATTTAGCATGACATAAATTAAAAGTGCTACACACTGGACTTGACTCATCTTCCTCATTAACTCTGACCTGTATTTTCTAGGGAATTATTTCTATTATAAGAGAATAAAAAGGTATTTTCTTATGTAAGTTTTCTATCCAAGACACTAGCTAGTGCTATTCGGGGGTTCATGAGCAGTACTGAATATTTCATCTCTCAAATAGAAAATAAATGTTTGGTCATCACACTAGCCACATCTGGTACACCCTCTGGAGAGACACTAGCTTGCTCAGATTTGAGCTCAAGTGTAGTTTCTGGTGGCTGGAGGAGAATAGCATGGTGAGGCCTCTAGAGACAATGGGAGGGTGCTCCCCCCACATTTGTACATGGCTCCCTCCCACCCTGCCACCTCTGTGCCTTCCCTTTATATAAAAGCTGTTCCTAAAAATTGTCAATGTTCTTAGAGGATTCAGTCAGACATTTGAATACCTTTATGAAGTGCATTATTTAAAGGCATCCTTAGTTAACCTTTCGTAAAATGAATAACCATCCTGTAAGTGAGCAGTTTTAAATAAAACCTTATCTTTCTGTGATACCAGTATGGCCTGAGCCCCTCACTTTGGCCTTTGCAGATCCCCATGCACACTGGAGAATCTCATGACCCACATGGACTGATTGTAATACTGTGACCTGTAGCTTGAGCAGACTTCATGTTACCAGCAAAATTATTTGAGTAAGTGGGCAAAGGTGGCAAGGATTGAAGGGTGGGGTGTTCATTTGTCAGCATCAGCAAAACATTGGGGCAAAATGAGTAGCAAAACAGCCTGTACATTCAGTGGGAAGTCCTGAAGCTGTTTTGCTGAAACATACTGATATGAGGAGGTATTGGAGCCATAGCTTTTGATTTGGCATCACCACACTTGAGACATTGTGCCAACATGTCAAAAAAAGCAAAACGTTGAAGATGTGCATATATTAAATATCCCAAATATTGAAGATGGGCTTACCAGGTCCCTGCCTGTGTCACCAAAATTGGAATAATGAAGGTAGTAGCAGGTGGTTTTTAACAAATATGATTTTAAGCATTCTCTGTGCAAGATACTTAGACATTTCCAATTATTCCTGAGAGTTCATAAATGTGTGTGTGTGTTTTTTAATTTTAAGAAAGATTTATTTATTTGAGGGAGGGAGGGAGAGACAGAGAGAGAGAGAGGGAGAGAGAGAGAGAGAGACAGAGAGAGAGAGAGAGAATGGGGGAGGGGCAGAGAAAGAGGGACAGTGGGAGAGAGAGGATCCTAAGCAGGTTCTGCACTGTCAGTGCAGAGCCCGATGTGGGGCTTGAACTCACAAACTGTGAGATCATGCCCTGAGCCAAAATCAGGGGCTGAACACAACTGACTGAGCCACCCAGGTGCCCCTCATAAATGTGTTTTAAAGAGGGGCTGAGTAACTTTTTTAGGCATTGGGCTACAATCAGTGTCCCCACAGTGGTTTTCTTTGCCATCCAGTGTACTGGATTTCAGCTGGATGTATAGGGGGAGACAGTGGGGGGTGATTTGGAATTTTCCCAGTCCTGTGATTGCCCACCCAACAGGCTTTTCCTGAAGGTCCTGTGAGGAGACGCTTGCTTGTTGGGTGATCTTAGAGACTTCACTTAGCTTTTCTGAGCTTCTTCTGTTTCTTTTCATCTGCTTCTTTTTGGGATTTTGAAAACAATGTTTATAGTTGACACAGTGTTTTTTTAAATGGGGAAGGCGGGACTGAGAACACTTTGATGTCTTAACTGTATGTCTCTTCAGGTGAAGTACCCCCCCCCCCCCCACCATCCCTCTGAGTCCCTCTGAGCACTGGGAGTGAGTCCAGCCCCTGCTCTGTACCTGCAGCAAAAGTCAGAATGGGGACATTGTGCGTTCCTCCTTGTGAGCCTGCGTTCCCATATAGGAATGTGTTTGGGTGATGTAGACATTCATGTCAGGGAATTGAAAGGGAATGTACAAGAAAAGCTTGTGAGCAGAAATATATCCTTAACACAACTCAATTTAGACTCATATCACATTTAAGAAATTACATGGTGCATGTTCTCTAGGAGAAAACATTTTGAAGCAGATTATCAACAAGCTACAAAGTGCCAAACCTGTTAAGTTGCATTAAATAAAATACTGAAGACCCAAACCTGTTAAGTTTCATTAAATAAAATACTGAAGACCAACAACAACAAATAAGCATTGGGATCCAAGATAACTGTTAGAACCAAGAATAACATGACCAGGAAAAAATATACATACATAGAAAATAATGAAGATAAAGCATGC